AAATAGCCAAGACGTGGAACTGTGGGATTCTTGCTTTCCCTTTCTGTAAATGAACGTAATAGAAATGAATACTTTTATGTAAAATTGTCTTGTCATTGGCTTTATTATTAATGTATTTAGGTTCTTGAATATTTAAAATAATTCTCAAGGATATTAATAAACATTCTGATACATTTAGACAGTTTGTTTTCCTGCTCTCAGGAGTTACTGAGGAGTGCTTAGACTGAGAAGAGAAATATATACTCCTTGACTAATTTTCCTTAGTTTCTAATACATTTTTAAAATTAGGCTTTAGGACTTATACTAAACACAATTAAAAGTTTAAAGTTAGCTATGAATTTCCTGGCAGCTGCAAATAAATTTCTTGATTAATTGTGCCAACTCTCATACTTTTTGTTGTGACAGCTTCTTGAACCCTTCAAAATGAAAAGGAAGCCATATAAGTAGCTTAAGGGTGAGGTACTCTCTTTCACAGTGGTCTCTATAAAGTCTCCTATTAAATAGCATGTTTTGTTCCACAGTGTAAATAAGCACCTGTAACCCTGTCCACCTTCTTTTTTCTACTGTCGGTTTCTTATTTCGATAGTTTTGCTGTTACTGAGAATTTCATTTACTCAGTGCATTGCTGGACACACCCAGGCAGTGTGTATGTGGACAGAGGGAAGGCGGGGGCTGGACATGAACTCACAGCCTCTCGCGTTTGTAGCCGGCAGTGTCAGAACACTAACTTAGGAGTGCTTTACCTTTTGCTGAGGGGGTGTGTGAAGCTTATAACAGTTTCAGAAGTGCATCAGCAAGACCATAGGCCCCAGTTATAGCACCCTTGAAGCCTCATTTTGAGTTATTCATCCAGTCTTTAAATTGTGTCCTCTTGCAAAAATGCCCTTGGAGCGTCAGCAATTAACATTTACTTAAAGTAAGATTTAGAACATAATAGCAATTAGCAGTTTAATCCAGCATGAGACCTCATCATCTTAAACTTACAAAAATGTTTACCTAAAATTTTTACAAGACTTTTTTAGAGTTACTAGAGTCATAGAAATACTTTTTTTTTTTTTGGTATAGATGGATGTAATTTTCATAAAACTAGAGACCACCATGTGATGTATATTCGGCACTGGACCAGTGAATAAACTGAAACTAATTTATTAAGAAACAGTCTTTCCTGTTCCTCAGCAAGCAATTTTTAAAATAACATATGTGGCATAAATGCTTAGTTAGTAAATATTACTCAACTATAACCCCTTAGCTACTTAGGCCCTTCAAGACTATTTGGAATTGAATAGTTTATAATCAGACATTGTGCTGGGCCGGGAGACTTTGTAAAATTAAGTCAGGGCTCTTCTTACCTACGTCTGCCTCTAACCCAACCACAGTGACCTCTTCTAGCTACAAAGGAAGAGAAAGGGTTGATATGGGACACCTGCTCTCTGCCATAACTCTAAAAAAAACCTGATAAATACACAGAGTGTATTGAAAAAAAAAAGTGACCCATGATTTTTTCTTTGTTATTTTAAGACATCAGTGATAAAGTACTATTGTGACAGAAAGCAGAAGGACAGATATGTTGGAGTTACAAATGAACTGGAATTTTCTCTTTGGTTTATAGTTAATAATCACCCAAACTAATTAGCAAATATCAAACCCAATGTTTTCCTAACCCCTTTAAATTAATCCATACTGCTGGCTACCCTCACCTGCTGCCCTCACTATTATTAACAGGAAGTATAGTCTTTTGGGAGTCAGGACTCCAGTCTCCTCTGCTGATTCAGTCTGTGAGCATGGGTAAGTCTCGAGCTCTCTGTGTCACAGTTACGCCCGTTGTAATATCCGTATGGTAGCATTCAGCCCATGTGTCTTTCTCTGGCTGCCCTTTCTCATTACATCATGTGTTCTTATAGCTAGCTCATTATCACTTTTGCCTTGTACTGTTCATTGGGCAGCAGAAACAGAAAGAATGGAAGATAACTTCCATCTCAGTTAACGGATGGAATTTTCCATAGATATGAATTAATGTCGCTGTTTAATACATTCCTCACAGATGTATTATTAAACATACATGCCAGCTCTCTCAATTAGTCAGACTTTCCCCCCATGTTTAAAAGTGAAAAGAAATTGACTCAATTTGTGTTATCCTCAAAAAAATATATCTAACTTAGAATACGCAATATCTTTCTGTTCGTGGTTTTCAAGGGTTGGCAGGTATGTGTTAACATTTTTATAACAGGATCAGACTCAGTTAAAAGACACTATTGTAACTTTTTTTTTAATCCCAAATTATTCATGTCCTTTTCTGGTTGTTTATGTTGTTTTCATTAAGAAAATGCTAATAGTTGGGTATCTGTTTCACCAACTTAAAGTTTTGATGTGTGACCTCTATGTTTAGTAAAGATAGAACAAGAAAAGCAAAAAGTCTGATTCACAACTTGCCTTTGGTTCTTGTAGGTTAAGTTTAAAAACTGACAGATGTTAGAATTTGTCAGCACTCTCTGCAGATTTCGGATTCATAGCTACAAAATAGGAGATGCTCTTTGACAATCCCTGTTCCTGACATAGAAGTTAAGAAGTATATCGATTAGAGTTCTTGATCAGGCAGCCATCATGTACTATATAAAAGAAAAGTTTACCATATCAGAATGCTCAGCTTTCCCAAAGTTTTAAAAGAAATCAGTATTTCAAGAGTGGAAGTGGGTTTACTTTTTATTATTAGAAAACATTTATTGAATGATCATTGTGTCTCTTACCCTAACTAATTCTTAGATCTTATACCTCTAGTACAGTGTTGGCAGTTCAAAATGTAAGATATTCTCATAAAATTGTTGCATGCATAGATCTTTGAAAGTAATTCTCTCAAGTAAAGAAAATTAATTTAGAGATGGTTCTCCCAGATAACTGGGAGGAAGAACCTAATTGTAAAGAAAGTGAGTGCAGAGACAAGCCTAGAACCTGCTCCGTGGCACTAGACATGCGGTGTGAGGCCACACAAGCCTGTGTCTGTCATCTGTAAATAGGGGTCATGCTAGATGTACCTCCTAGGTTATTGGGAGGCTTAAGTGAAATAAAGCACTGATGGTAACTACATGTACATGACACAGCGTAAGTACTCAGTACATGCCATAGGCACCCAGCACTGCATGCTTGATGTAAAATTCCATGAAATAGGCAGTGGTTAAGTATGCACAGTGGTTAAGGGCACCAACTCTGGAGCCGTCCCATCTGGCTCTACCATTACTAGTTATGTGAACTTAGACAAATTAGTCGTCCTCTCTTTGCCTCAGTTTCCTCCTCTGCAAAATGCGGATCATATAGTACCTGCTTCATGGGGGTTGTGAGGATTAAATGAGTTCATATAAGTATTTAGAACAATGTGGACATATAATTAGCACTTTATAATTATTTGTTATATATATTTTGAGAATTCAATATTTAAATTAATACTTAGCGAATATAGTTTTTCAGGGTTCCATCATGGTGTTTTATACCTTAATGTTTCTTTCAATAGTCCCAGTAATTTTTGCCCCCATTTCCACAAGTATTTCTTTTTAAAAACGTCAAAATGACATGCAGTTTTTTAATGTCTCGCCATGGACCTACATAACATTTGAAGAGCACTTACCCTATGGGAGCTGAGAGGGCAAATGTAGTAGGCACGGATTTCCCATGAAGTTTCTCTCTCTTGTTGGTACTGCCAGTTCCCACAATCCTAGCATTCCCTGGGCATCAGTCAGTGTCTACAAGGAATGATTTTCAAATATTAAAGCATGTGAAAAGACAAACAGACCAAAACTCAGAGCTCTCTAGGGACTATGACCTCCAAAACAGACTCTGTTCTGACATTTTCACAGGCTGCTTGAAGGAATTCCAGCAGGGTCATTCCATTTGGTAAACCCCTAAACAAACCCTCTGTCATCAAGGACTGATTTATAGATTTTTCTCCTCATGTACTTGTTCTGAAGAGATTAAGATAGTAGATATGGTTGCTGAGACTCTTCTAAGGCATCTGATGTATATGATAAGTACTATACAGAAGCCTTTTGGTATTTTGAAGTAATAAAACTGTTATTTGTTATGTTTAAAGAGACTTCTTGCTCTGAGTCGTCTTTTAAATTTTTTTCTTTTTCATTTTGATTCCAGGAAATCTATGCCCTAATCACATCTCTAAACTAAAATTCTTTAATTTATGAACCCAATTATTTAACAAATTCATTAAAATCAGAAACGACCTTTTAAAAAACAAATATACATATTAAAGTATGTACATGTATATGATGACTTGTTTCACAGTGACCTTTGGAATGTGTGAAAACAGAAACAGATCTAGTGTTGTAGAATATTCTGTGATATCTTGCTGTGATGACAGCTGTTCATATGATGCTTTAAGGTCATGGGGTGGGGGGGCAGATCTATAAATTGATATTCAATTAATCTGAATTCTCAAAATATTTTGTATGTTATTATACATTTCTTTAAAAAAAGAATATAATGTTAAAAATAAATGAGAAGGGCAGAACCCAAGAGATTTGAAGGCTGGACAACTTAAGGAAATGGGTAATTAGGGTTATTTGGTTTATAGTTGGCCTTAAATGCTGTATAGCCTCATGGTTATCCCAGTCTGAAATCTGAGTGGCATGTATGAAATTCCAGGGATGAGCAGCATTCCACATTTGAAGGATCAAGTTTATTGGGGGATTTTGTATGGTTTGTTTCCTTCTGTGCATGTTTCTTTTCAGTGACTTAATCCTTTGGATGAATGTACAAAGTTTTAACTATTAACTAAAAGAATTGTACACAGTCAAAAATTTCTTATGATTTTGATATCTGATTCTGTCATAGGATTATAATATGTTTTGAACAAATTTTAAAATGAAACACAGGAAGTAAATTAATATATGATCTCAACCAAGCCTCTTAAAATTAGTAGTAAAAAGAAAACTTATTTTATCACATTTTAGTAACCTGTCACAAACCCAGGATGTTTAAGAGGTCTCCTTAGTGGGAATTCCCTGATGGTCCAGTGGTTAGGAATCTGCACTTCCACTTCAGGGGGCCCAGGTTTGATCCCTGGTTGGGGAACTAAGATCCCGCAAGCCACATGGTGTGGCCAAAAAAAAAAAAGAGGTCTTCTTAGTAAAATGGAAATGAAAATGAAATAGAAAGTTGCTTAGTAATTGATCATGAATAGTTATTGAATGTACTAAAGAATTTTGTGGCTCTTGATTGAGGTATAAACTATATACGGTGAAAAAGATATATATGCTTATATTATCATTTTTCTCAAGCCAAGAATTAAAAAGTGATATTTTAACTAGATATGGTCTTAGGAGAAAGTAGTACTTTTCTAATACATTTTTCAAACGTAGATTTTTCGATCGCTCATAATTTCTGTGAAATAGTCTCTTTTTCAAAGAAAGGGAATTTGGTTAAATAACTTGCTAATAAAGTAGTGAAATCTCTAGTTGTGTAATTGTGTGCTTGTTTTGTTTATTTCTGCATAGAAGTGGAGAAGCTGCTTGCTTGAGTGCCTTCTCCACCCTCAACAGAAACAAATGCATACACCTTCAAAAATTTGAAGATTTTTATTTGGACACCCAAGTATTTTAATTTGGAGGATTTTCCAAATAAAGGAATTTAAATTTACTCCCATCAGATCAAATTAGGATTGAAAAAATTGAAATTTAAAGAAATCCAAGAACTTAGTCCTAAACTCTGAATTTCAGAGTCCAGGGGCTTTAGACAATACTTTGGTTTTTGTTTTTATCACCTGTTACACTGAAACTATTTAAAGTATACTCTCTCATAAAAATGTATTACATTTCTTAAATGACCATGAAATTTTATATACCATTGATAGTGGAATGTTATGTAATTCAGTTAGGTCCAGTTGGTTTACAAGGTTGTTCAAGTCTTGTATAACCCTTACTGGTTTTTTTTTTACTTGTTTTATCAACTACTCAAAGAGGTATCTCCTGTTGTGGATTTGTTTGTTTCTCCTTTCAGTATTGTTTTTGCTTCATGTATTTTGAGCCTCTCTTATGTGTTCTTGATGAATTGATCCCTTTACATTATGAAATGTCCTTCCATTCTTGGTAATGACCCACTCCTAAAGTCTACTTTGTTGATATTAATATAGCCCCTCTAAGTTTCTTATGTTCAGCATTGCATGATATAGTCTTGCCCAGCTTTTACCTTTAACCCATCTGTACCTTTATATTAAAAGTACATTTCTCATGGACAGCATAGAGCTGGATTTTTCTTGTTTTACTCTAGTCTGACAATCTCTGTCTTTCAGTTGCGATGTTTAGATCATTTACAGTTAAGGTAATTATTGATATGTCTGGTATATTAGTTACCTATTGCTGTGTAACAAACTACTTCATACCTTAGCAGCTTAACACAGGATGCATTTATCATCTGACAGTTTCTTTGGATCAGGAATTCAGGAGCAACTTAACTTGGTACCTCTGCCCCACAAGCCTGCAAGACTCAGGTTTCATTTGAAGGTTCAGCTGAGGAATGATCCACTTCTAACCTTAGTTAAATTGTTCTTGGCAAGATTCAGTACTTTGAGGGCTGCTGGACTGAGGGCCTCAGTTACTTGCTGGCTGTTGGCTGGAGGCTGCCCTCAGTTCCTTGCCACGTGGGCCTCTCCAACATGGCAGCTTACTTCATCAAAGGCAGTAAGAGAGAAGAATGCTAGCAAGACAAAATTTTTGCAACATTTCCTTAACGTTGTCCTATTCTATTGATTAGAAGCAAATTACTCAAGGGGAGAGGATTATTCAAGGCCATAAACATCAGAAGGCTGGGATCACTGGGGAATGTCTTAGAGGCTACCTACCACAATTGAGTTTAAATCTATCATTTTGTTGTATGTCATGTTTGTCCATTTTGTCCTCTGTTCCTTTATTTCTCTCTTCTTGCCTGTTTTGGTTTTTTGTTTTTATTTTTTTTTTAGTATTTCATTATTGTTTTTACATCTCATTAGCTATGCTTCTTTTTTTTCTGGTGTTTACTGATCTTTTCTAATGCAAGTGTAATATGCTGCTAATGCTATCCAATAAAATGTTTATCTTAGATAATTTTAGCTCTTTTTGCATTGTCCATTTCTCTTTTCATTATATTTATGTTTTCCTTTAAATATTTGCACATAGTTATAATAGGTGTTAATAGTTCCTTTTTTTCTGTCATTCCTGGGTCTGTTTTTATTGACAAAATGTTTCTACTATTAAAGACATTTTCCTGCCTCTTGGCAAGCAGTCTCCTATTTTTTTTTTTGTTGGAGATAACATTGTGAATGTTACATTGCTGAGTGGCTGGATTTTGTCTTTGTTGTCTTCCTAAGTGTTAGGCTTTGGTTTGGTAAGAGTGCTAGACTTTTGGATCACCCACAAGACCTTTTTAAAACTTTGTTAGGAAAAATCTAGGGTAGCATTCATTGCACAGATGGTACCTTAACTACTAGGGCTTGAACCCCTTTGGAATCTTACTGAATGCCCCACTAGCTGCTCAGGGAGGACTTTTCACTATGGCTGATTGGAGCTCAAACATTCCCAAACCTTGTGTGCACTTTGGGAATTGTTCAGTACAGTTTCCTGGTCGTTTCTTGCCCAGCCTTGTGAAATTTTACTTTGTAGACTTATAGCTTAGCACTCAGCAAAGACTCAGGGGCTTCCCTGGTGGCGCAGTGGTTGAGAGTCCGCCTGCCGATGCAGGGCACACGGGTTCGTGCCCTGGTCCGGGAAGATCCCACATGCCGCGGAGCGGGACTGTGTAAGGAAAGGGTCTGACTCTCAATGATTTAACAAACATGGATACCATTAAAATATTTGACTTAAAAAAAAAAAAAAAAAAAAAAGAAGACTGAGAGGCACCTATGCAGACTGCTGGAGCTCCTTTTCTACACTGCAACTTCTAGCTGCCGTAGCCTCCCTAAGCTCTCATCTCTGTCTCCATTCAGCAAGTCTGTTTGAGTTACAGTCTAGAAATTGCCTCCGGACAGAAAGCTAGGGTGGTTGTAAGGCTCATCTCATTTGTTTCCCTACTCTTTTTTTTTTTTAAACATCTTTATTAGAGTATAATTGCTTTACAATGGTGTGTTAGTTTCTGCTTTATAACAAAGTGAATCAGCTATACATATGCATATATCCCCATATCTCCTCCCTCTTGCGTCTCCCTCCCACCCTCCCTATCCCACCCCTCTAGGTGGTCACAAAGCAGGAGCTGATCTCCCTGTGCTATGCGAGCTGATCTCCCTGTGCTATGCGGCTGCTTCCCACTAGCTATCTATTTTACATTTGGTAGTGTATATATGTCCATGCCACTCTCTCACTTCGTCCCAGCTTACCCTTCCCCCTCCCTTTTTCCCTACTCTTAAGGGTCACAGTCCTGTGTTACCTGCTTCCCAATGTAGGAAAGCAATTGTTTCATGTATTTTGTCCATTTTATCAGTTTCTTATAGTGACAGGTTAAGAGCAGTCCTGTTATGCCATAACAGCCGAAAATGGGAGTCGGAGTTGGGATTTTAACAAGGCCTGTGCTTTTCCCCTGAAGCATGTTTCCTCTCTGTATACAGATAACTTAGCTTTCTGACTAGACTACAGCAGCAGTGTCATTTTAACTTTGGGATCCACCTAAATATTCAGACCTTGTTGGGCACCCCAAGGTGCACCTGGCTATTTGATCAGTGAATGAATGAAACCAAATTTTCGGTTAAAGACTAAGGCTGATAGTTATGGTTGGTTCTCGTGGCAAGTAGCTTTCCAGCTTCTGCTCTTGGCACAGAATGGTCAGCAAGATTGTCATAAAAGATAACATGTTAGACCTTAGATCACTTGGAGCCAATGACATAGTTATTCATTTGGTTCAAGAACTCATCTTTTTACATGCACCCCAGGGTTTATAGCAGCATTATTTACAATAGCAAAGATATGGAAGCAACCTAAGTGTCCATCAATAGATGAATGGGTAAAGAAGATGTACACACACACACACAAAATGAAATACTACTCAGCCACAAAAAAGAATGAAATTTTGCCATTTGTACAAACATGGATGGACCTGGAGGGTATTATGCTGAGTGAGGTAAGTCAGACAGAGAAAGACAAAGACTGTATGTTATCACTTATATGTGGAATCTAAAAGATAAACTAGTGAATATAGCAAAAAGAAACAGACTCACAGATAGAGAGAACAAACCAGTGGTTATCAGTGGGCAGAAGGAAGTGGGGAGGGGCAAGATAGGGGTAGGAGAGTAAGGTACAGACTACTACGTGTAAAATAAATATGCTACAAGGATGTACTGGACAGCACAGGGAATATAGCCAATATTTTATGAAAACTATAAATGGAGTATAATCTATAAACATTTTGAATTACTGTGTTATACACCTGAAAACTAATATAATGTTGTAAATCAATTATACCTCAATTTAAAAAAAGTTATTAAAAAAACTTTTGGAGCCTCAAGGAGAAAAGTTTTCATTGGTTGGCAGAATTCATTCTTCATATTATTTTCTCTTTATAACATTGAAATTAAGAAAAATTCTCTTTTCCTCGGTATTTGAATTTTATCCAGCTTGGCAAAATGCTATATAATGGGGAATATCATAGTGATTTGATGGCTCACAATTATATAGATATTGGAGGGGTTCTACTTAGAGCCAAGCAAATGTCAAGTTGAATCTTCACAACACGTCACAGATCCTCATCCTTTGTTGAGGAACAGAGCTTCAAATGAGACTTTATGTTGATAAAGAGTTTTATCATGGTGGTAAATGGTGTAATAGAAATAAAGTAGACTATCACTGAGGTCATCTGGGAATCATAGAAACACAATATGATGAAAATCTCTGTAGTCCCGCTTCCCGTAGTCCATACTTCCTACTTTACCCTTGGGCTCAGTGGCTGAAGGCTCCCACCTCGGTTCACAGGGCCACCCTCGCTGCCTGTCTGTGCCCTTGTGTGGCTGTCTCAGTCACTGGAAAGCCTGAGTGGGTTAGGAGACAGAGAACAGATGGGAGTCGCTGGTAGTGGGTGGAGTGAGTGAGGCTGACGTGTCAAAGCTGGCCCCAGAG